CTGCAACCCTTCAAAAGCAGCAAAGCAAGCTGCCAAGGCCAAGCAGTGTCTGATCACGTTTACGTGAAAATCCAAACAGGAGAATCTGTAGAGACGGAGAGGCTAGCAGGTAGGTGCCTGACTATGGTGGAGGCCAACAGCTGATGGCTTAGCCGGCGAGTTTCCTTTGGGGGTGATGGAACAGTCTGCAGCTAGATAGAGGTGATGGGTATGCAAGCCTGTGAACGTGCTTGCCCTCATTAAACTGAAAATGGTGAAATGTGGACTGACCTGTACTTCATTGCCGTAACTAAGAAAAAAATTAAGGGGCTAGAGCTATAGCTCAGTTGGCAGCATGCTTACAGGCATGGAGCCCTGGGTTCGATGCTATGAGCTGGGTATGGTGGCTCATGCCTGAAAATCTAGCACTTAAGAGCTGGAAGCAAAAAAAANAAAAAAAAAAAAAAAAAAAAAAAAAAAAAAAAGAGCTGGAAGCAAGAAGGGTCAGGAGTTCAAAGCCAACCTAGATTACAGGAGACCTTGCTTTAAAAAAAAAAAAATCCGGATGGTCATGGACCACACTTTTAATCCCAGTACTGGGGAGGCAGGGACAGGCAGATCTCTATGAGTTCGAGGCCATCCTGATCTACAGAGCGAGTTCCAGGACATGCTCCAAAAGCTACAGAGAAACCGTGTCTCGAAAAACCAAAAAAGCCAGGTGTGGCCTTACACTGGTAAATTTCTGAAACTACAGAGTGGTAAGAGTGAAGACAGGAGGATTGCAGTTGTTAGTCTAGCTCCAGGCTCAGTGAGAGACCCTGTTTCAGGAAATAAGACAGTGTGATGAAGAACAATTAAAAGTTCTCCTCTGAGCTAGGCGGTGGTGGTGCACACCTTTAAACCCAGCACTTGGGAGGTAGAGGCAGGCAGAGCTCTGAGTTTGAGGCCAGTCTGGTCAACAGAGTGAGTTCCAGGACAATCAGGGCTGTTATACAGGAAAAACCCTTATAAAAACCAACAAAACCTCTGGCCTCTGTGGGAAAATGTACTTGTGTGTCCACATACATGCACATTAAGAGGCGGGAAGCACTCTGCAGGGTGAAGCAGGAAGATGGTATCCATGGCCAGACTGACTACATAGCAAGTCTCTACCTCAAAAATGAAAAGGCCGGGTGGTGATGATGTACACTTTCACCTTTAATCCCAGCACTGGGGAGGCAGAGGCAGGCTGATCTCTGTGATTTTGAGGCCAGCTTGATCCACAAAGTGAGTTCCAGTTCAGTCAGAGCCGTAACAGAGAAACCCTGTCTTGAAAAACAAAAAACAACAAAAATATTTTTTTTCTCTACTTAATTTAAAGTGTATGTGTGTCTATGTACATGCACACAATGTCCGTGCAGGTTAAAAGAGGGTGTCAGAACGCCTGGAACTGATATTACCAACTACTGAATGGAACCCAGGTCTCTGAAAGAGCAGTCAGTGTTGTTAGACCCTTAGATCACCTCCCTCGCCCCTGACTTGACGTTCTTTTCTTGTTTCAGTTTTTTGAGACAAGTTTTCTCAGTAGCTTTGGAGCCGGTCCTAGAGCTCGCGCTGTAGATCAGGCTGGCCTCGAACTCAGAGATCCGCCTGCCTCTGCCTCCCGAGTGCTGGGGATTAAAGGAGTGCACCACTACCACCCGGCATAGCCTTTCTAAGGCTGCAATGCTTTAATACAGTTCCTCATGTGTGATGACCCCCAACCACAAAATTATTTCATCGCTACTTCATAACTGCAATGAATCATAATGTAAATATCTAACATGCAGGATATCTGATATACAACCCCAAGGGGTCATGACTCACAGGTTGAGAACCATTGACTTGGGGACAGTGATGTCCTACAATGGGGAAAATAAATTTGTAAGAACTCTTTGGCATGTGTGGGGGAGGGGAGTATATATATGTATGTGGGCATGTGCATATACTCCACCTGTGAATGTCAGAGGACAACTTGCAGCAGCCAGTTCTCTCTGCCCACCATTTGGATGCTGGGGGAGGGAAGGAGCTCAAGATATCAATCAGGCTTTCTGGAGATCACATCTGCACTTTCGCCTGCTGAGCCATAGTCGGGGCCCTCGGTTAATTTTAACTACAGGAAAAGTCTGCTATGTAGTTTAACAGGCCTGGCTTTACTAATTAGCATCAAACCTGTCTTGTAGGTAGGAGGCTTTTAAAAAGTTTGTTTCCCAGGCACGATGAGCCACGTCTTTAAACCCAGCACTCCAGAGACACAGACAGGCAGAGCTCTGTGAATTTGACTCCAGCCTGGGTTAGATAATGAGTTTCCAAGTCAGCCCAGGGCTACAAAGAGAGACCCGGTCAAGAGAGAGAGAGAGAGAAGGTAATCCACATTCTAATCATAATTTGTGTGAAATAAGGCTTGTTCATGGTGGTATGGGTTTGAATTGCCACTGGGCCTTCATAGCTCTGGCCTGGGGGTGTGGTCTTGACCACTTCTCTTGTCTCATTTGGGCAGAAGAGAGAATCTGGGAGCTGGATGTGACTGGGTTGTATGGACTGAATACTTGCTTGTCAGTGGTGGGAAATATTTCCCTATGAAAGGGCTTGGTCTAATGGCAGAGTAATAGCATCTTCATTCATCTGAAAGTTATTAAGAGTAGCCTGAGTGCTTAGCATGCACAAGGTTAGGAGTTCAGTCCCCAGCACCCAAAAATACTGATAGATAATAACTATTAAGCAGCTGGTACATGAATATTTGTAGCCATAAGGAAGCTGGAAAGATGGCTCAGCAGTTAAAAATCCATACTTCTGCTGGGCAGTGGTGGTGGCGCACGCCTTTAATCCCAGCACTCTGGAGGCAGAAGCAGGCGAAGCTCTGTGTGTTCGAGACCAGTCTGGTCTACTGAGTGAGTTCCAGGACAGCCTGGACTATTTCAAAAAAAAAAAAACAACTCATAATGGTATTACCAAGTACCTAAGTTTGGTTCCCAGCATCCATGTTATACAGCTCATAACTGTCTGTAACTCCAGCTCCAGGGCATCCAATACACTCTTCTGACTTCTGTGGGTACCATGCACTCATGTGTGTATAAACACACACAGCCATATGAATCACACATAATTTAAAAAAAAATATGAGCTGGAGAAATGGCTTAGTGGTTAAGAGCATTCTCTGCTCTTCCAAAGGTTCTGAGTTCAATTCCCAGAAACCACACGGTGGCTCACAACCATCTATAATGAGGTCTGATGCCCTCTTCTGGCCTGCAGGTATACACACAGACAGAATATTATATATATAACAAATATTTTTAAAAAATACAACCAGGCTTGGTTGCACACACCTTTAATCTCTGCTCGGGAAGCAGAGGCAGGTGGATCTCTTTTGATTTGAAGGCCAGCCTGGTCTACATAAAGAGTTCCTGGACAGCAAAGACCCTGTCTCAAAAAAAAAAAAAAAATCGGGTCAGGCGGTGGTGGCGCACGCCTTTAATCCCAGCACTTGGGAGGCAGAGGCAGGCAGATCTCTGTGAGTTCAAGACCAGCCTGGTCTACAAGAGCTAGTTCCAGGACAGGCTCCAAAACCACAGAGAAACCCTGTCTTGAAAAACAAAACAAAAAAAAAAAAAAAAAAAAAAATCGAGTTCCTAATGTTCTTCTCCCTCATGCTAAGGACCATTAAACTTTTAAACTTTCAGGTTTTAACCCTCTAAATACCCCCAGCAGGGGTAAGCAATGTTCAATTCAATTACCCCCATGGCCAAGATTGAATTTTCAAAAGAGGGCCATGACTCTGGGCCAGGAAGGAGCCAGCTGCATCAACACATCATAACGAAGGAGCTAATGTTCCCATTCCCACTTAAGAGACAGACAAACTGAGGTTTAAAGAAGGGAAGCCAGTGACAGGCAAGACGGCTAAGCCAGTAAAGGAACTTGCCACCAGGCCTATGACCCGCAATGAATTCACACTAAAGATGTCTTCTGACTCTCACAGGTACTTGTGCGTGCACACACACACAAACACACACACACACAATCAACAAACAAACATAATTAAAAAGCATTTAAAAGTGAAGTCACTGAAACTGGGGAGATTGCTCAGTTGACAAAGGGCTTTCTGTGCAGGCATGAGGACCAGGGTTCAGAAGGCAAAGCCGGGCAGGGCTCTATGAATTTGAATCCAGCCTGGTCTATATAATGAAGGTTCTATATAATGGGTTCAAGCCCAAGAGCGTTTGTAATCCTGGTGCTTGGGAGGTGGAAGCAGGACGATTCTAGTGGCCCACTGGCCAGCGAGCCTGGCCTAATCTTCAAACTTCGGTGCAATTAGAACTTGTCTCAAAACACAAAGGTGGATGGCTCCTGAGGCCGACCTCTGGACTCCACACTTACAACACCAAGTGAAGCTACTGGTCTAACTTCATCAGGCTGCGAAAGAGGGAGCGCCCCAACTTGGACCCAAAGTTCTCTGGACTCCACAACCCCAGGGCCAGAGACCAGGAAGGAAGGGGTGAGGAAGACAAGAGAACGCGTGCACCTCGACTTCTCTTTTCTTAGCATGGTGCACACACGTAGGTGCCAAGGCGGAGAGTGGAGAGCTCCTTGGTGGAGGGGATCATCCCAGTCCCGGAGACCCTAAGCTCTCAAGCAAAACCGAAAGCTCCAACCGAGAGGTGACCCCCTCAACCGCCCCAAACACACAGTAGGCGCTCAAGCTGCCAAAGCAATAGCTTAGACCCCATCACCCCCTGGAAAGAAGAACTCGGCCCAGATATCTGTGAAGCAAGGGGTGGGAGGCTGGAGGCCCTCGAGGCCAGGCCTCTCGGGGACACGGGTGTCCCCAGTGCCTGGCTCACAGTGGGAGACCATTAAGACGCGGCGGGTCAGCGCACGGGCGTCACGCGCTCCTGGGGGCTGCGCTTGGCCCGGGCTGCAGCAGGCCGCGACCGTCCCCAGCCCGGGTGCCCCCCCCCTCCAACGGTCTCCCGGCTCCGCAAGGTGACCGCGGGCACACCGCCCACCTTCTGAGCCGCGCGCACGTTGTCCTCTCCAAACAGGCTGCTCACGCTCTGCGAGAAGGTGCTGGCCGAGCGCCGGTGGCTGTTCTTATCCGCAGCCCCGCGGCCCCGAGCCCCCTGCGCGCCAGGGGCCACCAGCGCCAGCAGCATCAGCCCCAGGAGCAGAAATAGCAGCAGCAGTCGCAGGCCGACCCGGACCCGGGGCTCCTGGGACGCGCGCGCACCCATGCTCGGCTTCGGGAAGAGGGTCTTGGGGCTGGGGATGTGGGGGGGAGAAGGCGGAGCGCACGGCCACCGAGGGCTCCGGGCCGCACCGCGTGGGCGCGCCTTCGCCCCGCCCCGCCCTACAGCCCCGCCCCGCGCACGAAGCCCCGCCTCCCGCCCGCAGAAGCAGCCCCCCCCCCCAGCACCGCCGGGGCGCCTCCTCCGTACCCCTGGAGTATCAATACAGCGCAGCTTGCAAAGGCTCCTTGCTGGGCTGGGCTGGGCTGGGCCCTAGCAAGCGATTGGGAAACCGAAGGGCAGGTGTGTGTCACCTCCCCACACCCCAAAAGCAGGCCGTGTGGAGCAGGCGTTCATTTGTTCTCAGGCCCCTCCTGCACGGATGGCATTTCCGAGCCATCAAAGTGGTTGGAGAGGGGAAGTTGGTGATGGGATAGGAAAGGCGACCTATTGCGCGAGGAGGGAACCGGATAAGTGGTTTGGTATTGTGCACCCCTTTATAAAGGATTTGATGGGATCACCGGGTATTCCTTCGGTCTCAAGTCAAAAGAGGTTGGGTGGGGGAGGGTGTCTAGAGTTGGTCCCTCTAGTCAGTGCTGGTGTCAGGAAGTACCTGCGCCACCTAGAGGGACTTAGGGGTGCGAAGAGTCCAAATGTCCCGGAGGAATTTACAATCTAAAATTAGGGGCTTCCTACATGAAAAGCCACTGGACTTCTTATATATGTATGAACCTCATGGCATGGCAGGCAAAAGGACCAGAGGAGTATAGGTCTGAAAGATTTAAGAGCCACGATAATCATATTACAGGCATGGTGTGTGCTTGTAAATCCAACCCTAGAGAGGCCGAGGGAGGAAGGATGGTCAGGTCAGGCCAGCCTAAGTTATACCCTGAGTTCCAGGAACCTGCCTCAAAAACAATAAAATAGGGTACATGGAAGGACTCGGCAGGCAAGGAACGAGTAGAGATTATATATTTGAATTTAAAAATAATAAAACAGGGCGGCGGTGGTGCACGCCTTTAATTTAACCCCAGCACTCAGGAGGCAGAGGCAAGCGGATTTCTGTGAGTTCGAAGCCAGCCTGGTCTACAAACCAAGTTCCAGGACAACCAGAGCTACACAGTGAAACCTTGTCTCGAAAACATAATAATAATAATAATGAAACAATGACTCAGATCTGTCATTCTGGCTATGGAAAGCTAAGGCAGGAAGAGAACGAATTCAAAGCCTGCCTAGACTACAGAATGAGAGTAGAGGGCCAGCCTGGGCAACCTAGCGAGGCCTTGTACAAAACATTCATAAAAATAAATCTCTCTTTTTAAAGACTTGGAATGTAGTGGGCTGGAGAGATGGCTCAGTGGTTAAGAGCATTGCCTGCTTTTCCAAAGGTCCTGAGTTCAATTCCTGGCAACCACATGGTGGCTCACAACCATCTGTAGTGAGGTCTGGGGCCATCTTCTGGCCTGCAGACATACACATAGACAGACCATTGTATACATAATAAGACTTGGAATGTAGCCTAGCTGCAAGATGTTTACTTGTCTAGTGCATGGAAGGCCCTAAATCCAATCTCCAGAACCACGAAAATTAAACTAATAAAATCAGGGAAACACCATCCCTATGTAGCTGATTGCTCCCACAGAGGGATTTGTGGTACCTGGTAGGCAGGGAAGGGCTTCCTCTGAGGGTCCTAGATAACTAGAGATGCCCTGACATGTCCTGAGGGACTTTGCCACAGCCCAGCCCCTATGCTGACAAATCCTCTGGAGACAAGGCAACCTTTGCCCGCTGCTCTTCCCCTCACCCTTGCATAGCTAACCCTCCACCCTCTTCGGCCTGGCCCTTCTTCAGTCTTATCTTGAGGGTGTCTTGTGTGTACGTAAGCCCAGAATAGGGTCGTTCTTTTTTTCTGCTGCAACCTCTATATCCTCAAGGTATTTCATAGACTCTATGATGGAACCTTCAGAGAATAAATTTTCCGCTTTCCTTCACATTCTAAATCAAACAAGCCAGGTATAGTCAGACATTTGAGACAATGGAAAATAAACCTGGATCCAGTCCAAAGAGAGAACACTGGGGCCAGGGCACAGCACAGTGGGAAGCATGCACCGAGCCTGTGCAAAGGTCCTGGGCCCATCCCCAGCACCACAAAAAGGGGAAATGAAAGCTGAGATGGCTTGGTAGGTGAGAATGTTTACTGTACAAGTCTGAGGACTTGAGTTCAAATCCCCAGCACCCACATAAGAGAAAACTTGAAAGTTACTTTTGAACTCTATTCTTCTAAATTGTAAAAGTTTCAAATATTATTGGGGGTTTGATTTACTTATGGATTGTCTTTTCATATATTTTTACTGATATTTTCAATTTTCATGTGATGTTAAACTTTTTGTTTGTTTTTGAAACAGAGTCTCAAGTTCGTGCTGGCCTAGAACTTGGAGACTCACCAGTCTCAGCCTTGGTATCAGGAGTTTTAGGATTAAAGTCATGTTCCACCACATTGTGCTAAAACCTTCAAAGGGCTTAATAGCAATATATATATTTTTTAAAGCTTTTCAAGGCAGGATTTCTCTGTGTTACAGCGCTGGTTGAACTGGAACTCACTTTGTGGATCAGGTTGACCTCAAACTCACAGAGATCTGCCTGCCACTGCTTCCGGAGTTCTGGGATTAAAGGCGTGCACCGCCACCACCCAGCAAGCAGCACACATCTTTAATCCCAACACTGGGAAACAGGCAGGCAGATCTCTGTAACATGTCGGCCTGGGGTACCTAGTGAGACCTGGTCCCCAAAACAAAGTATTTTAGAGGGAAATATAATACAACCCCCAGAGAAATAGGGCTTCACTATATAACCCTGGCTGACCTGGAAATGACTGTAACACCATCCTGGTCTCAGCCTCACAGTGATCATCCTGCCTCCACATCCCCTCAAAGGGCTGAAGTTCAAACAATGCACCAGCACCACGGAGCCCAGCAGGAGTGTTTCCTTTTAACTCTGTGTATACCAGTGCGTGGGTATGTGCTCTCAGAGGCCAGAGGTGCTGGATTCCCTGAAACAAGAATTTCAGGCAGCTGCAATCCACCCACTGAGGGTTCTCGAAACTGAACTCTGATCCTCTGCAAGAGCATTGTGGGTTCTTATCTTCTGAGCCATCTCTCCAGACCCTTCTACTGCTCACTCTTAGGAAATACACCCAAGCTGCTGTGTGTGCCTCTTCTTATTGTCTAAGACATTTTTTGTATCTTCTGGATCTCTGTTATTTATATGCTATCTTATTACATTTATTTATCTCTCTCTCTCTCTCTCTCTCTCTCTCTCTCTCTCTCTCTGTGTTTGTGTGTGTGTGTGTGTGTGTGCATGTGCTCCCGTGTGCATATGAAAGACAGTTTTAGCGAGTCAGTTCTCTCCACCCATCATGTGGGTTCTGGGGATTGAACTCAGATCATCAAGCTTTGTGGGATGTCCCTTTATCTGCTAAACCAGTGAATGTTTGTAATCCCAGAACTTGAAAGACAGAGGCAGGCAGAGCCCTGTGAGTTCTAGGCCAGCCTGGTCTACCTGGTGAGTTCCAGGATAGCCAGGGTTACACACAGAGAAACCCTGTCTTAAAAAAATATTAAAATTGTGTGTATATGTGATCCATGATTGAATTCAGATAGTCAGGGTTAGGAGTCAACTGTCTCTACCTGCCAAGCCATCTTAGACCATGCTGGCCTCAAACTCACAGAGACTGTCCACCTATCTCCACACTCCCACTTTGAAATGCCGGAGTTAAAAGCATGCACCACCATGCCCAGCAAGATTCCTTTTTGTAGTTGTGTGTGCATTGGTGTGTGGGTATATGCACTCAGTGGTAGGTGTCCTCAGACCCTGTAATTTTTTTTTCAGAAACAGGATTTTGCTCTGCAACCCAAACTCGGCCTCTTTTCTCCCTTTTTACCTTTTTTTTTTCCCTTTGAGCTGAAGGGTTTAAACTTTCCCACTTCTACAACTGAATTTAGGTTTCATTTCTCTGAGAGGGACAAACAGGTGTCTCTCCCAACAAAGGACCCTTTATTGATAAATTACATTCAGAGATGAAGGAGAGAACACGAACAAGGCCTAAGTCAGCCCCACAATGTCTCAACAACAGTTCCTGCAACCCCCTTGAAACTTACCCAAGGATGTCCAAAGATAAAGCCTCAGTCAATTGAAAGTCTACTAATGTAACTGCTGCTTGCTTCACCAGTTATGTTTGAGGTGACTTAACCATTCCTGAAATTCCCCTAACTTTGCTTGAAAGGAGCCTGCATGCTCCTTCCTCTCAGAGCTGTTGCCATTTTGTATAGGCGAACGATGACCCTGCATATGCTGGCTGTTTCTGCAGAATAAAGGCTCTTTGCTTTTACATACTATTTGAGTCTGGGGTCTTTCTCCAGGGTGTTCTTGGACCCCTGCAGAGCTAGGGCCTCAGGTAAGCCAGCCTGCCCTTTAGCTTACTCCTCCATAGACAAGGCCAGCTTTGAACCTGGCCTCACCTTTCTGCTTCCACCTTCCAAGAGTGGGGATTTCACTGTGCCACCACCTGCCATTCAAATTAACTCTCAAACAGAACAAGTGTGGTACAATAGAACTGTTCTATCTGCGGGGTAATTACAGGGTTGAGAAATGCTTCCGAGTACGCCTCAGACAAAGTGACAGAGTGAGTTTTAAACCATTCAATAAAATGCCTTCTTTTTTACATCTTCTGTTCCTGCCGTGGGAATATTTTACACATTTTCCTGTGGAATTAACGCACCTCACCTGCGGGGAATATCAGAAAAAGACAGATGAGCAAAGCAAGAAGAGAGGAGACATTATATTTTACAAGTTTAGTCAAATTAATACTAAAAATTTATTTTATTCATTTAGGCATGACCAATTTGCCTGTCTGCCATACATGGGCACCACACGTGTGTCTAGTACCCTTTCGGAAGAGGTCGCTGGAGTCAGAAATGACTGTGAGCCACTATGTGGGTGCTGGGTACTGAAACTAGGTCCTCTGAAGAGCAACAAGTGCTCTTAACCACTTAGCCCCCTCTCTACAACCCCTGTCCCCCATTCTAGAGACAAACTCTCACTATGTAGATACGGCTGATTTGCAAT